AGAATATTCAAAAGAGAATAGAAAACCAAAAGATGAGAACTAGAAACTAAACAAATTCTGACAAGAAGAAAACTATGATATCGTGTCCAACTTAGGTCCCGTTTCCATGGATTATTTAAACAGGACAGACGAGTCTTGCATCACTTGGCGGTTCGACGAACAGATTGCGATAGATCGCGCGAGAGGAAGGAAGCGATCGAAAAGCTAAGGTGGTAACCTTACTCATTAGCGGTCTAATTACAAACCGGTCGGAACTTCTCCGTTAACCGCACAATTACGCGTTAGGCAGGACCTTGTATCTAGTCCGGCCAGATACGTAGCAGCTTACGGACTTGGTTTATCATAGAAACACGCCACGGTGAGATAGTCGTACAACTTTTGACTCTCTTTCATCGTGTTTCACCGAACCGTATCGTTATCTTGGCTTTCGAAACGACAACCAATTCGATACTTGAACGCGTGAGCGTGTACTTTGAGAAATTGTTCCGACTGAATGAAACGCGTGTAAGCTGTCGTTTGGTCGTCAGCTAATACTTTGAACACCGGAACGGAGCAATAACGATCGTCCACGCACGTGCGCCGTATATATTTCTACGTTACATAAAGAAATTAAAAATTACGAAAAAAAATCCATAAGTGCAAATAAGATATATTTACTGATTTTCAAACTCATAGTACACTGCAATGTATCGTTTAGAAATTCTGTCTGATTACAGACAGATACTAGTAGGAAGATATCGAAAGTCGGTAACTATAAACAGCTATCGATCATCGATCGGCAATAATTACGGTGTTTAATAGTTTATGGCAAAATTACGGGACTGTTAGGATTTACAGGATCGGGAGACCACGTTTGTCGGGATTTCGAGGATCATAGCGCGTCGATTAACGATCATCAACGATCGATAATCGCAGTAAACGTTAGAGCGGAGGGTACGATCTTCTCGATCGATCACGAGCGAACGCGGATCGTATTCCGATCGACGGTTCGTAGGATCGTAGCCTGTCTGTCGGTGACCTCGATCTTTCTTAGGTTGTCACGATATAATTGTTATTACGTGTCCGTGAACGGGCACGGGCTAGACACTGTGGCGCTCGTGAACTCGTCCGATCGATTTGCTCGGCATCGTTTCGTACTAGATAACGTCTCGTGAACTTAAACATCGCGCGTCGTGTCCCATTTCCTTCGTGAGTCATGCGTTACCGACATTTCCATTTTTCCTTTCGTTCTCACGAGCTCAAGTAAACAAAATTGTTTGTGTATTGTAAACTGTGTTTGTGAGAAAATGATTTATGGCGCGACTGACGAGAAACTGAATTTTTCTACACTTCGGAGAAAGTACAAAATGGAAGAAACGTAGAGGTTGTTCGCAGGTTGGATCCGACGAACGACGAAAATAACAGCGCGCGAGGAAGAAAAACCAGAGAGATTTGAAATATGGATATACTTAGCTGTGACTCGTAAATACGCTGCGTCCTGCGTACTGTTTTTTCAGTCAGTGAAATATCGTTATTATTGAACTAAAGCAAGGATTTAAGAATACATAGTATCTAGAATATCCGGAAGATCGGATGAAGATTCAAATTAAAGTAGATTATAGAGAAGAATAAGATCAAATGAGATAAATATTAAATACAAAATACAAAACTATAATTTGTACGAAACAAGAACAAAATCATCAAGAATAATTAAAAAAAAAAAACGGTAAGGACATTGTTTGCCTGTGTACGGGTTAAAACGCCATAACAAAGTGTCCCATAGGCGACTCTCCCGTTTAGCACGAGATCGTAGAACGTAGAAATCTATCGATCGTCTATGGTCTACAGTCTGCAGTGTACGCGACGAGACGCATACAATGAACAGAACAGCGCACTGTAGGCGGACACATGGGAATATCTGCATGGAAACCTTGTAAAGTCTGTTCTCGAAGAGCCATAGTTGAAACACGTGGGCACCGATATCTACCTGATAAAGATTTCACCATAAATCAGAGTTAACGCACGGAGAACGGTAGCTGAGCCGAGTCACGATTCGTGAATGAAATGTTCGAGGAACGAATCGAATCGACCGAAATCGAATAAGTCGACTTCGTTCCAATCGAAAGAGCGGATTGTTGAAATATGGATATCGGAGTTCGCTTATGAACGATGAATCGGATATCCGCGAACGCTAAAACAAATTTGCTTTGAAAGTTAGAGGATACAAGAATTCTTCTAAAATACGTGGAACTTCACCAAGTGATTCAATAAATTAACATTAGTTTCTTTTTTCTTCTTTTTTTCCTTCTTTTAAATTATTGCAAATTGCAGTAGCGTTACGTAACAATAATGTTGCGCGTTACATAGTAACAATTTGTATTTAACCAAGACACGTTTGTCGACGAGTGGCGCCATCATCAGTCGGTTAAAAATAAGCATGCTAGACATGAAAAAGCGGCAGCGCCTTCAGACAACGGACATGACATCACTGGCGTGCCAAATACTTTCGCAGCCTCGTAACGGAAGTCGTTATTTTTACCGCGACTCTTTTTCTTCCGCGCAAACCGTACTGCAAGGATTCATGACAGTGCGAATCAATGAAAGTCTTTATTCCTACACCGTGACTCCTGCTTTCCGCTTCTTCAGGTACGGCGTTCAACTACCATCTCTACACTCTGTGTGTTTCTGTCCTCGGGGCTATGTAGTTTATTTCCTTCCGTTCCGGACGATCTACGCGTTCGGAATGGAAACGAAGACAGACTCGAATCGAAACCAGAAAATTCGAACATACCGAAGTATAGTCGATGCCGCATAATCGTATATTTCACGCCCTGTTTCGACTAGGTGCCAACTTTCCAATTTTCCGATTTGACGATTTCCATATAAATCTTCTAGAAATTCTGTTACCTCACCAAAAATAGAATACGGTCATTGTCGAAGTATTTTCAAGCATCGTGCGACTCGGACTCGCAGAGAAACGGAACAAGAAACTCGAGAACGCTTTTAACACGAGCGTCTCGAGACTCGTGGACTCCAAGGTACGTCTTCATCCAATTACGCCTGATGCAACTGGCCACGTCCGATGTAATTGACCATTGGCGGATACTCAGAAGTGTGTCAATTTAATGTCTCAATGACACGCGTCACATTATTGTGAGCACAGAGTAGAGTGAGTCACCTCGAATTTGCAGATATAACCGATCGATACACTCCTGAGTTTCATTTTTGTTTTGTCGCTAATCGCAGGTACAAAGTACATAAGTGTCACATGAATTATTCATCGTTATACATCAACGTGATGTTTATTTATGAAATGTTCATTAACATTGGAAAAAGATAGACACGAGGATGAGATAACGGAGAACATAATTTTTGAGCAATTACGACCGAGAAGATGCGCGCAGCGCAACAACGCGCCACTGTTCCTGCGTCAGTCGTTGAACGCTGACTCAGAGCCATGACTATGCAGCCATTGGGCCGTTGTTTTTCTTTCCGAGGCACCAGAAAGCGGCGCAGCCACAGCCAAAAAGACGTCCCAGATGTCCTGCGCATTTAAATCCGGTGGCATTGCTTTACGACGTTCGTCGAAATCGTTTCGTTCTGTCCTGATGCGAGTTCGTTTCCTAGAGCTTCGATCTGTCTCTGAGAAACTGCATAAAACTCTCCTATCGCAAAACATTGTGCGGCACCAGACAAGAAGCAACGTTGAAATTATGTATAATAACAAAAATGGAATATCAATTATTCAAAGTCAATGCTCAGAAAAAGAAAATTACTAGAGTATCGAAGAGCGTAACATTGAATTTGAAATTTTGATGTAGTTGTTAGTTGCAGAGAAGCAAGATCACACGAGAAGGAGAGAAGCTATTTATTCAGAAGACATTTGCATCTACGTCTTTCAAATGGAATGAGAAGAATATTTCACAGCCGCGTAGAATCTTAGTACAGAGAGAAGTCATGAATAACAAAACTAGAATCTACGTGGATATTAACATTAGTATAGCTCGGCAGTGAAATATATTTAAATTAGATTCAATTTATACCACGTGTGGATCTCAAATAATATAATATATAAGATAAAATAATAAGATTGGAAGAATCAGAGAATAAATAACGCCAATAAGATGTACCAAAGACACCATGTTCTTTGCATCACAAGTGGGATTAGATCGAATAAGCAATTAGAACGAACGACGCGATTAACTAAACGTTTTCTGGCGTTGACTGTACGGCTTCGTCTGCCGCAAATGCGATAAAACGCAGCTAATTCTCACTAAGGTCTCGTTCCCGAATCGTTCTCGAGGTCCTACCGAATTCCATTAACAGTCCCATCCGCAGCACCGGTTATGTCCTGCGGTATAATCTAAAGTAAGTAGTTCATCGACCAACAGTATGCATAGACTTTCCTAGAACTTATCCTAGATTCGCGACTTTGACCGAGCGGAGTAATAATAGCATCACAAGTGTAGAACAGCATAAAAGCCGAAGCGTTTGTGTAAAGCTTCTCCGACGATACGAAACTGGCGAAACGAAATGAATCAGAAAGCAAAGTGCGAAGAAGATTCTCATTCGAAATCTTATCGAGAACCAAAAACGTCAAATATCACAACGATCGTTTTATATCGACTCGGTGGCCACGTTTTCGTTGCGATGGCAACGACCGGAATAAAAGTAGCTGGACAGAAAAAAGAGAGCGTGGAAACCGAAAAAAAGCACTGGCGTGAAAAGCCCGTCTCGGACGATGCGATTCGCCGAACGGAAAGAAGTATCGAAAAATTAGCGACGTGCAAAAAGGAAGCATTACCTCGAACGATGGTTGTGACGGGCCAATCGGAGGCATCGAGCCTCTTACAACACCACATGCCGCAGCGATGGTTTCAACGAGCCAGAAGAAAAAGAAATTCGTTAGAAAACCAGAAGGAAAACGGACGGATATATGATTTTCTCGAGAATGAACCCAGGCGTGGAGGTCGTGTCGCGGCTCGTGCGTGGAAACACACACAGTCCGGCTGGCAGTCGAAAGGGGGAGCGCAGTGAACTTGGTGTCGCGACGGAGCACGGCGCCGGCAAATGGCGTCTGTGGTCGATAGACACATCGGTGGGTGGTTGGTTTCCTCCGTTTCTACGGCAGAACGCAGCCAGGTTCGTATGGGAAACCAAAAGATGGTGTTGGGGTTGGTCGGCTGCCATGCGGCCGGTCACGAAGACCTTGAGGTTTCGCCTCGTACGCTTTATCCTCCCTGGTTTATACTTTTAACGTCATGGCTGACGCCATTTTTCTGACGTCAATAAGATCCTCGTGGCGTAGCCTAGAAAAACGATTTTCTTCCTTACCATCGAGAACCTTCTGCGAATCGCCCCTTTGACCGTACGTGACATTTATTACCGATTGACGAATCGGTAATTTCTATCGACAACGTTCTATCAATAACATATACACACGCGCTATAAACGTCTCCGGAGAGGAATCCGATATAAGAGAAATTACAGACAGGAGGTGTGAACAATCAGGCGTGCAGAGTTAATATTAACCTCGGCCGGGTCTTGCTTTCAGAGCTAAACGGTACGTATGTGTGAAGAGTTCTGGTAAGTACACCCCTGAACACGTTGCTACCGCGTCGATCGATCGATTTATGGGTTCAGCCTCGCGGTTTCGAGACGGATCTTTCTCAGCGAATCAGAGACGACCACCACCTCCACCGCGGATACGAGGAAGACTCGATTTATGTGAATTTCGCCTTGATCCTTGTCCCACGACCACCGACGAGATAACGCAGGATGTTCGCTTGACCTTAAAAATGCTATCGGTTTCTCTTTTCCCTTGTCCCTACTACTCTTACATTCGACGTGCCATCGAAATCTAATCATTTCGCCTGACTAACTCGCGGAAGCACCTATGCGAGACTTTAATTTAAAGCGACGCGAAGCAACGCTGGCTCCCCGATAAAAGACGGTCCAAGAATGCAGTCTGGGAAGGAGTCGAGGTCGTAAGGTGTTCCCTCTTGTTTTGCGTGTTTGCTATCGAATCGGGATGCTTCAGAAAGAAAATGGCGATGATACCGCGAATAAAATAGCCTTGCAGACATAAATATCAAAAGGGAGGAAAAGAGGATAGGATAAAAACTAGAGACGAGCAGTGCTAGATACCATAAGGACAGCTGGAGATGCGAAACACCATAAAAGCAGGCGAACGCAACGGACTGACTGCCCTGGACAGGCGCAAGACGAGGTGAATGCACCAGCGTCCTTTCCGAGTCCTTTTATATAGCCGATCCACACACCCTGTCCTACCGTGTATCATTACTTTCCATTCCCCCGGTTATCGATTACACAAGTTACGAAGGCGACTCGCATCATTTTTACATTATTCGTACCCTTTAACCGCATCTGGAGGTCGTGTCGCATCTATAAAATGTACTGTACAGAACTGGAGCAAGGTTAAGAAAAAGACTATGGGTCTAAGTGGTCAATATTTGCTGTAGATTGGATCCACGTAAATCTTGCATGCATTTTATAAAACAAAAGGATCACATCTATTAATTACAAAATAATTCAATGGCAAATAGTTCAGCCAGGAATTGTTAAATTATCCTACATCTACTACTAACGAGTGGAACGTGTAGAGTAGTGAGAATTAACACTAGAATTACCAGGATAGTGAAAATTACTGATCCACGACTTTTAATAAAGATGTTATACAGGGTATTTTATGAACTTTGGAAACTAATTTGAATTATTATCTGTAAATTGCATCGCTTCGTTAGGGAAGTGAGCAAAACGCATTTCTCTTTCCCCTTTCCAACTCCGTGCAGTATTCTCGATTTCGTAACCATTTTCTCAGCTTATAGCAAGTGCCATTGATACAAATTTCGAATTGGACGACAAGGAGGGAACATCGATTTCGTGATACGATCTTGTTTGAAGCAATGCTTCCTGCTCGTGATGGTAGCGCAGGTTGGTATCATTCGATTGATAACATCGAAGTACTTCGGTAATGCGTGGAACAAGATTGCGACACGTCTCGAACAATGCGAACCTCTTTCAACACGTCAGCCAACGTACATCCTTGAGTGTCCGGAATTGCATTTACATATTTTGTACGTTTTATCTTATACCTACTCGAAACACCTTCGTTCCGTGTAATGCTGTTAGTATCAAAGGAGACGTGGCTTCTCGTGTCGTGCACTGTTGTACTTATGACTTTTATTATAATATAATTTCTGTGTACCTGCGTATTCACTTCTCTTTTATACATATACTGTTTCTACTTACGAAAAATAAAGAAATAAAGAAACTAAGGACTACACAACCTGACAAATAAATAAAAATTAAACAATAAAACGCGGTAAATAATTTAAAAATTCAATAATCATAACTATCCTTCTCGGTGATTACAAAATTAAATTTGTATTTTTCACCCTATTAAATAAAAAATGATTTTTTACTCGATCGTTCACAAAATCTCCTGCATCTATCAGTTATTTTCAGAAAACGTACATACACGTGTTTGCGAAGTCGATAAATTGTACAAAATCAAAAAATTGACTTCCCTTTCACGATTTACAAGTTGAATATCGTCGATGTCGATGCATCCACGTGTATTATGCAGAATCGTAAACGACTCGCGCCTAGAAAAGAAGCTGCAATTGTAGAAGAAGGAGTAATAGACCGGTAATTTCGTCCAGGAAACAAAAGGCGGCGCACAGAGCTCTAAACGAAGTCAGAAGGGTGCGCGAGAAGCTGAGCACGAGGTTGCTTCTACTTGGGCCGAGTACACGAATAGTGGCACGGCTGGATTAAACGAGCAAATTACGGGTTTACGGTGGACCAGGAGGCCTGGTCCGGTGAAAATAAATAAAGCAGAAGACGCGGCGTCCCGGTGAATTCCACGGGTACGCGGACGTGGCCCGAGGTAATTTATTGCACCTGCTGGACCCGGGCGTAATTATCCCCATGCCAAAATCCTCGAACGCGTGTCCCTTTCTTCGACTTCGTGCTGCGTCGATATCTTCGATAAAAAGAAAAAAGAAAAGAAAAAAAGGACGGTGTTCGTTTGCTCCTCGTACTCTCCCGTTAGGACTCCACTGGCCGTTCACCGATATTTCCAACGAAAACTTCGCGTTGGCACAGACTAAAAAAAGAACCAGATGCGTGGAAAGCAATCGTATGAGAATAGTATGTAAGTGAATGAATTCTTACGATATGTATATACAAAATGATCGAAGAAGAAAAAATAAATGAAAAGTGTGTATACGTGGTTGGATACAAGCAGGCTTCTCTAAAGTGTTTGCATAGAAATTCTAGGAATAAGTAATGGAAAGGAAGAAAAACCGACGAAGGGTGGCTAATCGAGTTAAGAGCTCCGGCGTCGATTACGGGGCTCGTGGTTCTATTTATTTCCATGGCGGTTCGAAAAAAGTCTACCATGGAAAGGTGAAGTTCCTCGAAGTTGCTAGAACTCCGTCACTTTCATTTTTATATAGACATCTTGTTTTTGTATAGTGTTTTCTACTGATTATTTTAACTCTTGGGAGCTATCATCGAACGAAGTCTATAATATCGTGGATAAAATTCCATCCTAGTACATACAACGCTGTGACGATATTATTACCGACGATAATATTCATATACACGTGTAGAACTCCTTCGCTTCTGTTCAAATTCCGATCACATTCTGTTAATGCAATAGAACCATTTATGCCAGCGATCTCGAACGGTATAACAGAAACAAAACTGAGAATAAATAGCGAAGAATCAGGATACGATACAGACGATCGGTAGCTTGATTCTGTCAGTGGAAAGTCTCACGATGTCGAACGACGGCTATCTAACAAAATTCCGAGAGGATCGTTCACCGGGACTAAATATACCTGGCGCGTGCATAATTTCGAACGTGGAACGTAAACTACAACAAAGTCGAGCTGCATCGGCGTTCGCACGCACTCTGTTTCCACGATATCTCATTTGCCGGTACGAGCCAGTTGTCAAGCACGAAAACACGCGGAACTTGCGGATAAAGAGTGTAAGCGCGCATTTGCAGATGGCAACGCGTGTTACCGGGCGTAATATATCGAAGCAGGCGGGGTCGCGAGCGCAACGCGCTGCTAATATCTCCGGCTAGTCGCGTCGAGGAACGCGGGACCGATCTGCTCTTGTTCTGTTCCGATCGTCCCTCTTAAAAATACTTCCCTCGCCATGCTTGACCGGGAGAAAAGAGAAAACAAAGCAACGAAACGACGCGGCTCTATCTACGGAGAGAATACCGTGACGAACAATAAGAGTTCGCGTGTTGATCGCGAGGAGAATGCGTGCGCTTCGAAGTCGTTTGACAAGGTAATTATCGTTCGTAAATCGTCATTACGGTTACGTCGCGTTACAAACCAGCTACCAGTTCAATCGTTTTTCCGATCCCGCTACCCGGTGTCACGTTAAGCTCCTGCGTTTCGAATCACGATCGTTTGTCCGTGATTTATCTCATGTTCCTGAGGCTTTTTATCTTTTATTTCGAGCCAATAGCAGCTTAGCTCGATCCTACAATTATTATAAATCAGATTATGATATGGTACGAGAAAATCCACAAAACATATATATTATACGTAAATGCACAAAGTATTTATAGTAAATTATTTGTTACAACATTCAGAAAATAAAACAAATCTCGATTTAAGTACTGTTCCGCTGCTCGTAATCATAAAAATCTGTATATGCATCAACATTTTAATTATAATAAGTTAAAAATAAACAGACCTTGTAGTCCGACTAACAGTACTTTGAATATTGAAATAAATATTCAAATAGCCAGCGCAGTAGATAATAATCTATAAACAGCGCAAGATATCAATTTGCTTAGATTACAGAGTAAATACAAAGTATAGAAATTGAAGGATTAAGCCAGTTGCAGCTATCGGATCGATATAGGATCGATCAATAAATATCAGTTCAAGATTGTTATTATATCGAGCCAATTATTATTATTATATCCAGCTTCTGGGAGATTTATACGAGATTATATTCAATATCGACGCACGCTAGATATTCTCCATAATTTTCATATTATTAGATATTTAAGTATCACCGTTCGTTTTATCGTGCAATTATCGGCTCAAATCGGGGATAATCATATTAATCGTCTTATGTAAGAATGCTTAATTGATCGCACTAGGGTCGTTCGTTCGTTGGATAAACCAGGGCGCAAGTAACAGCTAAACAGTCTCATTATACTATTTACGTAAGCGTAGCCGATGACTTCGAATTGTTGGTTAAGATAAACAAGTGAATTTCTCGTGGGTGCACTTTGTTGCAGCACAACGCGGCGAATTGCGCGAAATTACTCTCGAATCAGAGCGGTTCTCGGTTGGCAACGATGGCGAACCTCGAAGACGACGTAGAGTGTAGAGAGTCGGTGAAAAGCAACGCGAGATTCGCCGCGTGTTGGCTATTTTCGCGTCTGGGCTTTCCAGAACCTGACCCACCGACTACATTCCTTTCAACGAGCGACTGACGCTGCTGAAAAAATTAGCCGCGAAACGCACTTCGACGCCTACACAAGCGACAACTTGTCGCCGAAATATTGTAATTTCATAAGTGATAAATAGGTTTTCGAAATGGCAGACTTTGCCATAACATACAGGCAAGTCGACTTGTGTTGGAAAGTGTTGAACCAAAAGATAGAGATCGAAAGAGATATCGAAGGCAGATGAAGGCGTTAAGGACGTATTATTTATGTATTATTCCTCTGTGATGAAATCTATGATTTTTGTGGAAAAATTTAAATCTCGAAATGCCATTGGCACGAAACATTCCTAGATTAATTCAATTTATAAATCTGAAAGAAATATTTAATGAAATAAATCTATAAACAATGGGTGGATATCATAATGAAAAATAATCTATGGAAATAGTAATTGATTCCGTGATATACAAAATGATTCGTTGTTCTTATCAAGCCACTTAACATAGCCACTGGATATTCATTTATTTTTCGCAACAGAATACATAACTAGTGCTTAAATTAAAGGAAATCGAACGATTAATTCCAAAGGAAGACGATAGAATTTTAAACAAACTATTCTAAACACACGTAACGATCGAAGGAGAATGAAAGCAGAACCCCGTCTTGTTTTCCTACGATTTGCCGTGAATTTTACGCGAACGAATAACTTTCACGGCACCCCGAGGCTCCGTTGCAACGAGGACAAGTTCAAGGCGTGCCGCGGAAACGGAAATACGTTTTCGCGAAACATCCGGTCCAGGCCGGACACACAATTCTTAGAATAGACAGTTATATTCTGCGCCGCTACTAAAACGCAATGGAATCTCGATAACTGAGTTCGCAGATGATCACAGATTACATAAATGATCGATAAGAAGGTATCATCGTGCGATCGCGTGAAATTGAACGATTTACCCATTGAGCATTAAACGAAAGGAACACGGGATGTTTGTAATTTGTTACGATCGGGATATCGCTCTAGCTGGTGGAATCGGCTTCGCTCGAACACGATTTCGTCTGCCACGTACGATCGTTCAAGTGTATACCACGGCTCAACCAGTTCATTATGAAATCGAAGCTATAATTAATCGCTAAGCTATGTACGCTGTAGTTGCCAAGAGTTCGACGTGTTAGCAAATCCATTAATTGACCCGTTTCATTAACCGGAATATACCTAACGTAATATCCCCTTTGCGATCGCTCTGCGAACAAAAACAGACGAGACGAGAGTTTCTCGTAGAAAAACGATCGGCTGTGGTACCGTTCAGCCTGGTTAAAAATCATTTCGATTCGTACAAGCTCGCAGAGCACCACGACCAATCGATTTTTTCCTCGGGCCGTAACGGTAAAGAGCCCGAAGTGAAAGTACAAAGGCAAACATGCCGCGCTTAAATTGTTCGTAATCTCTAGAATAGCTTTAATGCTCGACAGTGATCTAGTGGCTGGCGCGTGCAACCGGTTTT